TGTTTTAATTATAATATAAAGCAATAACAACAGAATGTGGGTCTTACTACAATGTAAAGAAATTCTTTGATACTGTTTAAGCATAGTATTCTTGATGAAAATTTGTAGAATGGACCGCAACTTCTTGTTGTAGAGACACAAGTGTAGAGGATGACGTTCTGCCTTCTGTCTTTAGGTCAGTGTGTGTGTGTGTGTGTGTGTGTGTAGTATTCTGGTGGATTGTGGAAAGCATATTATGAATGGTTGGTTAACCCAGTTTCTGCTTGGAGGAGATATTTTCTGTAGATTCAACCAATGGTAGCTACAGGTTACTCACCTTTATGTTTATGTTATACCAATTAGAATAGCATAAAATCTCAGCTAATAATCCATATTTTTATAGTATGCAAGTTTTACATTGTTAATTCTACAAGGAAATATTTTTAAAAAATCGGGAATTTCCACTTGTGTGACCCACGTGACACATTTTGTCTTAGTATGTCATCATCCCTATTTTATCCATCACCCCTCGAAAATTTACAAAATTAAACTTAAAATACTCTCTATAAAATTGTTATTGCTCAAACAAACCATCATTTTTATAGTCTTAAATTTTTTTTGGTTACAGAGCTATTGAATACAAAATCAGACCCCTCCTGTCACATCCTCTCTTTCTCAATTCATTTATAGTTCTCTCTTACATTTCATTATATATTACCAATAACCAATAAAAAGTCAAGGTTTTCATCTATCAAATGACGTATTGTATAATGTTGAGCTCTGAAGAGAATATTGTCAATTTCATTCATAGTACAAGATACGTTCCCGTGGGAAAGTTAACAACTAGCTTAGATGAATCTGTAACAGCTCTAGTGGCATAGTTAAAAAGCCAGGAAAATTTTGAGAGGTAAGTGAATTTGTTTATGCTTTGCATGTTATTAGTGTATATTCTTTAGTGCATTATTTAATTAAATAAAAATTATTAAGTGCATTACTGTATAATTATAATTACTGTATAATAGTATAAAAAATTAGGGTTAATTCTCTTCGAAAACCCGAGACCAAGAAAAAAGAAGATTGGGTAAGTAAAGTTTATTTCTTGGTTTTCATATTTATTCTTTACTTATTATTATAAAAGTAACTAAAATCTAAAAATATGGATCTTTTTAAGTTACTTAAGACTAGATTAGGTAAAATAAGTAATAATAATAATATAATTAAAATGGTTCATGAGGCACGCATATGAGCAGCTCATGGGTAATGTAATTCGATAGTGTAATGTGAGCTGCACGATCCCTGAATGGTTTACAACTTATAATGGCACAGATAGTAGTTAGACACTGTTCAAATGACATTAAAAAAGGCAATAAAACAATAAAATTTAATTACAAATAGATGTATACTATTACAAACTTAGATCGACTTAGGATAAAAGAATATACACTGAGTGGTCACAAGTAAATAGACACCTAATTTTTCGTCATTTAACTGATTTATGCTAATTAATTTGTGTTCACAGAGCACTGTATAAATGAAAATGGTCCGCACACTAATTATCTTGTGCTATAACATGC